ACCTGCCATGTTTCAGTGTGTAACCCATTTTATTTCTTTCTATTCTTTGCCTAGAATAGCATTTTCTCTTCTTTCATTGACTATCACCTTATTCTCGTCTCTACTTTTTTGATAAGCTGTTTATATTATTTTTTAAATAACTCCTTAATAGCTCTGAGTGAACCAGTTAAGACCCCCCACCAACAAAAAAAAGAATGGACATGTGCTTCCGCTCAATGCCAGCAGAAAAAACAACAAAAGGCTGTTGAATTCACTATTTTCTCAATCTCACTTCTCAATAAAACTAGCAGCTTTCAGTCACTGGATAACAGGTTTTGGAGGATCTTTGTGATGCAGAACAGTTCTTTTAACAGTGCTCTGATAACTATTTAATGTTGTCCATTACAGTAGTTGCACACAGAATAACTTGGGGGGGAGGAATTGGTGTTTGTTTGTAGGTTGTGTGTGGTGGGTTTTTTTTTGTGGCAGTGACATTTCTTTAACTGGACAAAGGCAGCATTCTCTTGGTGGCCACGTACGTTTTAAGCACAGCAGTTGCAGTGACAGTGACCTCCTCAATACAACTAGTTCTAATACACACTTCTGGAGTCTTCATGTTGTTCCATGTTTAGCAGAAACATTGAAACGAGGGATACTTGTTACAAGCTAATACAATCTTTGGGTGACTTTTTCTTACAAATGTTGCTGGGATTCTAGCACCAGTCATATCTAGAGATTAGTACTAAAACCTGGTTAATATATTAATGTGTCATTATTTTACTGTGGCTCTGGACACTTTTCTCCTCTAGTGTCCCTGGCTTCAGTGGCTTAGAGCAGGCTTTCCAATCCTTGTCAACTGGACCTTGTTAAGACAAACGAGATGAGCAAAGGGGAAGGAGGATTAAGTAGGAGAATAATCTTTAACATGTGACAGTTTCAACAGCTGTGTATAATTTTCTTGGTCTGTTCCCCTCTGCCCTGCTGTGAGTGTGGCTCCCTAGCTCTCTTCCTTTGCTTTTAAAGAATCCCTAGAATTGGTGTGGGTTGAGGAGGCACTCTCAGACCTCCTGCTCTCAATTCCTGCATACCGGAGAGTTGCACTTAAGGAGCTGGAGGTAAGTGGCTCGGGGGGTTCCTGTGCCAGCTGTGGAGCTGGGGCTGCGCTGTGACCCTGCAAGCGCTGATGGACACATTTGGAATAGGTTGGCAGTGGGTTCAACAGTGCTTCCCAGGGCGTGAAGTGAAGGAAAGCCTCCTCACTCAGAGCCCGTGGAAGTGCAGTGTCTTGCTGCTGCGGTGTGGAGCAGAGCAGCCGGTGGTGTCCGTGTGCTGGACACGGAGAAGGGGGCATGTCATGGGCACAGGTGCAACCCTGGGCAGGTGGCAGCTCTGCCTGTGGAGTGACAATGCTGTCCTGCTGCCTCCAGCTGGGGCAAAGGAGCCCATCAGAATTGCCCCAAAGTGATCACATCTGGGATCTTAGCTGCTATTTTGGGAAATAAACTTTTCCACTAGGTGCAGGTTCAGAAGAGTGAAAAACACTGTGGAAGGAGCCTCTTAATCTTATTTTGCAGTGAGATTAATTGTTGTCATGTGCTATTGTAATTTTAATGCCATAATTCCTACCTCTTTAGAAAACAGATGTCCCTCAGCCTGACTGGCTCTGTTCCAGGATTTTGTCTTGCCCTATTAACCGTGGCTTTGCTGAAACAGAAGCCTTTTTCCTCCATCTTTTAAGAACTTCACATTGCAGGTGGAGGCACTGTTTTCCTTTCCTGATCTGGTGTCGCTTCTTTCCTGGGGAATCTGAGATGATGTGCTTTCAAAATAGTCTTTGTGCTAGAAAATAATGATTTCTGAGGTGGAGTTAACAGGGATCACGAAGGGCTTGTGTCTAGAAGCATCTCTCTTTTGAAGTACCAACTTGTTTTCGCTCTGGTCTGTATCGGAATCCCTTACTGCTTGATTTGGAAACTTCAGGGGATTGTGTCCGCTTTTCCAGATTCCTTGCTAGGGTGGATGTGCTACTACAGAGGATCCACAACAGATCCCTATTCCATCTGTAATATTTTTACTTTTTGCTTTATCCTGCTGGCCTTTATGAAGCAGTAATGGAACAAACGAATCGATTCTTGTGTTCAAGCTTCGGAAAACTAAGAGCACTGCAAAGAAGAAATTAATGGCCTGAAGACAGTCTCCTATTTTTATTTTAAACCAAACAAATGTTATAACTATTGCTTATGTTTGGGGCAATTTTACCAGTTTTGTTATACAGAATTAAAGGTGAGGTGGATTTTTTTTTATTTGAATGTATCAGGTTGAAAGCAGTCTGCTATTAACAATGGGTAATTAGTTTCAGTGGTTAATTACCACCTGTGGTTAAAACTGTGACTCCCTTCTAGGTTGAACTTGTTTATTGTTGTTTCCAGCCACTGTATTGTATTCTGCCTGTATCTACTAGGTCTGAGTTCTCCTCTTGAAGAAATTCTACTACCTGTGGCTGTCTTCTCACCTCATAATGCGTTCTGTTGTACAAATCAAACTAATTTGGGGTGTTTTGACTTCAAACAATGCTTGTAACTGTATTAAGATCTTTTCAGTTTTAGAATCTTGGAATCTGCTTTTCAAAAATTAAAACCCTAGCCCAAAAAAAAAAAACCAACAAAAACCCCCTCGAGTGGTCTCTGTAATGACCGTGTTCCTGATGACTCTAACGTTAACCTGCAGCACACCCACAGCCAGCTCCACACTCACCTGAGCTCCCGTGCCCTGTTCTCACCTGTGGAGTTACTGTTTTCTAAAATATAACCAGTGTTGCACAAGTATGTTGTGACTTTCCTGCTCTTGTCTGTAATGTCTAGTCAAGTAGGCAGATCTATAGTTTTGGTACTAATCAGGAGTTTCAGTTAACAATTAATGTACTTTCTTGCAGGTAATTAATTCCTTGATAACAAGTTAGGAGATTCCCCCAGAAATATCTTGAACAAGATATTTCTTGTTCTTCTGCTCTTCAGCTGTCCATCACTTAAAACTGACATTAACCTTCCCAATATAATAAACTAACAGTCCTCTAGAACGTGGAACTGTTTTCTTTCCTTCTGCCTGATGATGCAAGTGCATTGGACCTGTCCTTGGCTGCCTGAACAAGCATCCCAGAAAATCATGAGTCATAGTCCAGATTTTGATTCTTGCTTCAGGATGGCTGACAGCGTGAGTTGAGGGATAGAACAGCTCCTAAAATTGCAGAGTATAGCTTGGAATAAAGAACTTCATGGGGAGCAGGGACTGTGCTGCATGAAAGTGACACTTGTAGATATGGTTTCTTGGAGGCTAAATGTGGTAATATAAGAGTTCCTATGTGGTCCAGTGGTCACCATAAGCTCATTTCTTGTTTTGCATATGAGTGTGATTCTCTGACCTGCTGCCTCTAAAGGGAGCACTGTGGGCACACACGTTCATTAAAAATTCAGCTCAACCAAAGGTTCCTGCTGTCTTGGGGGGAAATGGTAGAGAATGAGCTATCTGCTGTAGGTGTTGTGTGTGCAGAGAGGCAGCGAGATGCTGCTGTGACAGAAAACCCAGCCAGTATAGGTAACTTGTGCTCCACCCCTCTCCTTTCTGCAGCCATCACTTTGGACTGCGTGGGTGGGAAGCCCATAGTGAAACTGCCTAGTACAACACTAGCAGTAGAGTTCCTGATGCAGACGTACTTACTCAAGAATAAATCTTCACAAACCAGATTGTGTTGATTATTTAACTAGGCATAAACTGATACAGTTTTCTACTCAAATCAGTCCTTATACAAAACACAGATGAAAATAATGTTTGGTGTGGTTTGTCCTTAGTTTTATGAGTTTTATCTCCACAGATAACTGACTTCCTGATTTTGTGAGTTTCTTAGATCAAAGCTCCGAGAGTTAAAATCACCGCAGACATTAATTCACTGGTAGCTTTTCTAAAGTTAGAACTTGCCCTACTAAATTATTGCTCTTACTTCTAAAACCAGACCATTTAACTATTGTGGTTAAACCTTGTATGGCAGTTCATGGAATTCAAGCTCTTGAAGTGTATGTGGATGCAAAGAGTTACAAGTAAGTGGCTTTGTCTTGGAACAGGCTTTTTGAATCCTTCAAAGAAAGTGGAGATGGTTCAGCATGATGCACTAGTTGTGCTATTGAATGGACCTTGAGAAGAGGATTAACCCTTTCATTATTTTCCTTTTCTATCAAATTATTGTTGGGAAAGGGTTGGACCTTTTTTCAAGCACACGCAGTAAAAGAAGTGCTTTCTTTTTTTTAGTATTTTGTGTCCTGTCGGTATTTTCTTGTTTTGTTTTTGGTTTGTTTTTTTTTTTTTACTAAAAAGAAATACTAAGCCTACACATGTCTGTCCTCCAAGTAGTAGCTTGTGAATAAGTCAATGATTTTGATTTCTCAGTGCTCTGTTAAACGGATTGGGTGGAGTGCATTTTGAATCCATTAAAAACAGTGGGATTTTCCCTCCCAGTGACATTGGTCTTTATCTTTAGAACTTTCTAGGACAGACAAGCTGGATGAGACTTAAATTTCTTATGGTTTTAAAAAAAAAGACCAGGAAAAAATCCCTAAGCAACTCAATAGGACAGGGCCATATTTTTCTTTCAGATGACCTGTTCTCAGTAGTTTCACTCATACTTTTGTAAACTGTCCTGGATTTTGTCTGCCTTTGCTTTGACAGTAGTTAGTGTGGAAATTGGTTATGGCTGTTCACAATGTTACTTTGCCTTCAGGTAGGTGAATGGTCTGGGTTATACCTAATCCTACCTCTTTGCCTCTAAGATCTTACTGAGTACTAGTGATTCTGCAGGAAAATCTGCGTGAGACAGTTTGACTCCTTTAAAGAAATTTCTGCTGGGATCACTGTTCTAAAGATGGAATTTGCTTGCATTTTTATTCTTACTTCATGGAGATGAATAATTCAAAGTGGTTATTGATTTTCTTTTCAATTTTTTTTTCCTCCCCTCCATTTGTTTTTCATCTCAGGTTTCATGTGCGCTACATCCTTTCGAGAAAGCATGTGCTGCAGTGCTGACCTCATCCTACAGACGGGCACAAACTCAGGGGGGAATAGTGTCTAAAATGGATGTCCTATTGGACCGATGTTTAAGGAACACTTGTGTATTTTGCATCTGTTTTCTGTTTCTTGACTTAGTAGGCCTTAAAAGCAGCAAATAGTTGGTAACTGTAATTTCCCAAACACACATACAATTTTCTAGCACTAGTTTGGAGAGACTAACATTTTATCTCTTTAAATTTAAAATATGCCTGGAAGAACAGTTCCTGTTCTGTAATCATAGCATAGTTATTTCTTATGGTATCTTTGCCTGTAGTAGCAACTAGATCCTGTGGCTGTTAGTTTTTCTTAGAATTTTTTGCTTGCCTTTAGTCTTGGAGTCATTGTGAGAGAAGCCTCTGTACAATGCCCATTAAATGTATATGAACCTGACAGGGTATGGGTTCTGCAGCTTCTAGGAATGTGTCAGAGCTGTTTTGCATTACTTGCAGTAAAGTGCCTGCATTTCAGCATCTCAGCTTCCAATTCTAAAGATCATACTGAGGAGAAAAATGACTGGTATGGGTTAATAAAAACAGTACCTTTTTTAAGCAAGTCCTCTACAGTCTTTGACAGAGTCCCATAAACATGGCAGTATACTCAGAATATTGTCAACTTTCCCAAATGTATTTTGTCTTGGAAACTTTATCTGTGCCATTGCCAGTTCTAAATCCTGTCCTCTCTCCAGCCTTCTTTTTGGGTTGTCTGCTGGGCTTAGCTCCCGCCATCCATTTGCATCATCTTCACTGCTGCCACTGATGCTTGTCGCCCGCCTCCTAGGACCCCGTTGTGACTCTGTTAGACTGTGCTACGCGTGTCCTCTCTCCAGCCTCTTCCCTGGACAGCCAGCGGGGTCTGGTGAACTGCTGCCTCTGGGCTGGCATGCTCCTTTGTAAGGATCTTAGTGCCTTTTTGCCTCTGTTCAGGCCTTGGAAACAGAGTTAGAACAGCAAGTTCCCAGGAATCTGACCCTTCTCAGGTGCCTTTTACAAGAGATTTCTGGCTGGTTCAGGGAAAGGATGGGAGCTGACGCAGTTAAATGTGTCTGAAAGAAAAAGGTCCCCTCTGCAGGAAGAGGAATCCTGCACCGTATTTTGGCTCTTGTAGCTTCCCTTACAATTGCCTTGGATACACTTCTTTCTTGCTTTCAGTGTTAGACCTGGCTTGTACCTTCTGCTTTGCTCTGTGCATCTGCTGGGACACGTGGGACATGCCTCTGTGGGTGCTCGTCATCTGCTGACGCTGGCAGAGGCTGCTGGGGAGGTACAGCTGGCCCCAACACTGCATGGAAGGCACGGGATTGTCTTCAGGTAGATGTATACTGCTTATTTGAAACACTTTTGGAGAAGTTTTCCCTTGAATTAAGGGTTATTAAGACAACATGAGGGTTTGATCACAGTCTCACTAAGAAATCACTAGGATTTGATCCTTGTCCCCCTTCCCTCTGCCCCGCTTTGGGTGCTGGAGCTGTGCTGCACCCGTGCGGGGGACACCCCGCTGTTCTCACTGTGCCCCAGTATTTGCCTCAATCCCCCTGTTCATACTGCTTCTGGTCTTTTAGTACTGCTCATGTTTGCTCCAGTTTCACAGCCTTGATTTACAAACCTCCTTATCCTTTCCACTGAGAGTTCTAGACAGGTCATCTTCTGTCATTTTCCCTAAAGCTTTTGAGTTGCTGAGTTAAATTAGGCTCACCATTTTTAAAACCTTATTTTCTGGGACAGGAGAGACCAGAGTGTTGCTACAGAAAACTCACAGGGTTCATGAATTTGTTTAAAGCAGGAACTGGAAAAGAGGCTGATAAGGGGTGCTGGTGGTCTCTGCGGCCCTGCATTTGGGATGCTAGTTACACCAAAGTAAAATGCTACTTGGTGAAGAAATTGGTAAAGAACTAAATTGAATGTATGACTTGGGCTATCCACCTATAAACTTGTCAAACCAGGACAGCAACCATACAGAATAAAAAGGTACAAATATCTGTAAATAAGAAAGGAGATGGGAAGTAACGAAGAGTAATTAAATAGTTGCACAGAAAGATGCAAAAGTATCCTTTAAAAATATCCTAGTAAAGCCTGTAGAAAACAGTAAAAATTGCTGTACCTGGACAGAAATGAGGACAGCCAAGAGGATTTTAGAAGTGATTTGCTAAAGACTTGACTAATTGGTTCCTTTGGTTTATTTAAAGCACATAGCCTGTAAAAGTCAGTGACTGGATAGTTAAAGGAAAAAAAAAATCTTCCAAGAGGAGGGATGCAAACAAATCCTTGTGCTTTTCTGCAGTCTTCCCTGCACAGCATGCTGTGGTGACAGCCGACTTCTCTTGTAATTACTTTGACAGTCCTGTGCAATGAGATTTCACAAGCCTGGGGTGTAGACTAACATAACAGAGAGGTTAGAGTTCTGTGCATTGAGAACTGTATGGTTTTTACGCAGAGGTGTGGAGAAATAAATACCTATCCTCCCTAACCCTAATAAAAGCTGTTCTCATTAAAGCCTTTGGCCTATAGTTGTGAAGAAAATCAAGCATATTTGAGTGTAGAACGGTGGCCATCTCAAAGCTGTTCAGAGAAGCATGACCTCTCTAGACTCAACATGTATTGTGAGCCCCATTTGATATTATGCTTTAGCTGGAGTTCTTGGAGGTCTTCTATTTCATGAAGACATGCAGCCTTTACTTACATAAAAATGGTTTAAACATTGTGGTAGAGAAAAACCTGGAGACATGGCTCTGGCTGCACCCTAAAATTTAAAAATAACAGAAAAACATTTTAAGTAGTCACTTCTGTTATATATGCAGACCTGGAGGAATAGCTGGTCTGTGGCACTTTAATTTTTATGATCCAGAACATTTCTGCCGGTGTGATACTCAGGTGTACAGTGATGCAATGAGTGTTTGCATCATTAATAGTTTAATTCCATACCCTAGTCAGAAGTGAACTACACTGAACATCTTGGGAAGCTCTGAGGCCTTTTCAAAACTCTGTGGTCAGGGAAGAGAATTCCTCAGGCAAAAGACAGGGTCTTTGTTTCAAGCCATAGTGCTCGGTGACTGTTGTCTGACTAATTGGAGAAGACTTTTTGTTTGCGTAAGTGGGAAAAATTCCATCTCTTCTGTAATTCAATAGTTGATATAAATATGTCCTTGCATCAAAGGGTAATAGTGCCTTTAAATGTCAATGTTTGAGTGGTCCTTGGAACTGAACATCAATGAGCCTTGCCTCAGTACTGGTAAGAGTGCTGTTTTTCTCTTGAATTTGGATATTTTTTTTTTGGTGTGGTGGGGGTGGGTTATTGCTTTGCAGATGTGGGGAGATTGGGTTTGTTGTTGCTTTTTTTTTCCTTTTTTTTTCTTTTGAATCCTAAGCCTCTGTTTACTCCTGCCCTGTGGTCCTGGTGTCCAGTCTGTGATGTCCCATAACCGCCAGGTGAATCTCCTGGTTTCCTGAGAGACTGAAAAATCTCAATCACAGCCCTGTATGTCTCCCTGGCTTTGGAAAGTAGGAAGCAGAAACTAGAAGCTCAGTGCCCTCTCTTTAGGAACTGGAAGAGGCTTGAAGCTCAGTAAGTGCCTTCCTTACTAGTGCCCCTTTTCTTCTGCTTTTCACAGCTATTTTTAGGCTTTTTGCTAAATAATAATTTGTTGTTTTCTTTAAAAGATAAAAAGAAGGGTTATCCAGAACTCTTATCTGATCATATGAAGACAGGAGGGCCATCTCAAAGAACTGCTGTGCAGGAGACTTTTTAGGCCAGTTAAATAACTGCAGTATGGTTAAAGCAGCAGCTGTTTTAAGATCCTCTTCAGCTTTAAGTAAGTGTCTTGCTGGTCAAGCAGTATGTATACATCAAAGGACTGTGCTTTCTGAAAACCACCATACCTCATAAGTAATTTGTCTTTGTAAAAAAAACACCTGCAAAGTACAAAAAGATGCATTTCTCGTTAGGCATTCCTGCTGAACACATAGCCAAAAGCAGGAAGTGAGAGCTAAATTGGAGAAAATAGATGCATCAGCTGTCAGCCAGGGATTTCATGGAGATTGCTGTTGAAAATTTACATCAGAAATAGTTATTGGAAAAGACTGAGTTTTTATGACACATACAGAGATTTTTGAGGCAAAAGATAGATAAGAGCATGATATGATATTATTGAAACATTTCATTGTTAAACAATATCATAGATGGAATATAACAAATTGGCCTGTTTATATATTAAAAAAATTTAATAAAGACATCAGTCTAGTTCATGCTTAAAAGTGTACTTACATGACTTAACAGGGAGGGATTTTGGAACAATTACTAATATCAGTAAATGCCCTGATTAAACAGTTATATCAAATCTTATTTTGCTGCTTGAAATAGAATATGCTAAATCAAGGTAAGAAAATCAATACAGAAGGAGATCTTGCTGCCCTAAATATCCTTCTAGGGGCTAAATTTGGTGACCATTGTGATGGGCATAAAAAAGGAGATGGCTGCAGAGCTGTGCGTCACTGTGGAATGTCCTATGTGTATGTCCTTCCCGTATGTGGTAGTGGAGAGCTACAATCCTGACGTGCTCTGAAAAGTCTATGAATGGCGGAGCAATTTCCAACACAGACCAGTTCTAGACCCCCCTCCTTTCCTTCCTGCACCCGTTGCACTGCTCTCTGGAGTGACATAGACACGTGTCTCTACATTTATTGGGAAAGACCTCAAAAGCCGTAGGCTGGATGAAATTACCCCGTGGGCCAGGTCCAGCCCGTATGCTGCCACCTGGGCAGTTCTTACACTTCAGTGGGTGATGTTAATTCAAATATTAAGAAGCCTAGTTTATATGTAACAGTAGTAGCAAATACATCCTCTTGCTTTGTCCTCAGCGCTGCCGCAAAGCAGCATCTTTTAAGTAAAATCCTTTGCTCACCTTGTGTGTCTGCAAGCTGAAAAAGGGGACTGTGTGTTTGTTTCGCAGGCATTCTGCATCCCCCCTGTTTTCTCTGCTCTTTACCTCTGACTCCTGTTCACTTTGACTGTGCCCTCTCTAGCTTGTGCTATACTGGTTATAGTATACAGGAAGGACATTGAGCTGCTGGAACGTGTCCAGAGGAGAGCCACCAAACTGGTGAGGGGTCTAGGGAACAAGTCATATGAGGAGAGGCTGAGGGAACTGGGCATGTTTAGTTTGCAGAAGAGGAGGCGGAGGGGAGACCTCATTGTTCTATTTTTTTTTTTTTAGATTTCTTGCAATTCTATAGTGTTTTTATTCCTGAGTATTCCATTGTCTCTGGCAGCCCTTGAAGGACCATTGAGAGGGAGACTTGGTCTAGGGCAGGCAGACGTCTCCAGCTTTCACAGTTAATTCTGGAATCTAAGCTGGGATCTTTTGTAAGGCAGGCAGGGCCCTGGTAGTGGTTTCAGTGCTTGCTGTGGAAAAAGATCACTATTGGCAACTCACATGCCATGAAGTAATCTATACATTCTTCCTTTGGACTGATAGGCCTAAGCCGGGTAGAACAGCAGCAGGGAAGCATGCTTCTCTCTCAAGTGTCTTGGAGGAGCCAGCTGCTGACACTGGTTATGAA